TGTGCTCCACGATGACCCTTTCCCCACACAACTCCTTGCCGTTCAAGTCATACACAGCATCGTCGGCATCACGGGGGTCATCAAATTCAACAAATCCATACCTTTACAAAAGAAGAGATATCGGGTCACAACAAAGTTTGTAAATTAAATGCATTACACAGATGTCAGGTTTTGCGCTAACTGGCCAAACACATACCAACACCATTTACAACATCCAATAAATCATTGACCCTGGCCATGTTACATTTCCTAAAAGGGGTGTCCTTAAGCAGTGGCTTCATATTTCAGTGCTATAGATAGGGCTGGGCAATAAACCAAAAATGATACTAATTGCATAATAATTTTCCTCAACAACAACATAACAAATGTTCAATAAATGATTGATGTTATTCATTTTAATCAAACTAATTAGCACTCAATTTATTAACCATCTGGTTTCTTCAACTTTCACTCAGAAAGTCAGCCTTTAAACCTGAAAGAAATAACGATTTGACGTTTATCGTCATTAAAATCAAATGAAATGTTTAATCATGATAATGTTTTTGGCCATATCGCCCAGCCCTAACGTTAGCTATAGACCGCTGGAAATACGAAAAAACAAGCTAACGTTATTTGACTGTGTCCACTTTGGGCTTTTTGGAGTAATGGGCATTTTTTAACAATTATTGAGAAAATAAAAAAGATTAATCTCTAATGGGCGGGCCTATATACTAATCGAGGAACAGTAACTTTATGTCTAATGAAAAGAGACCAGCTTCAGCATTGAATAATAATTAACGTTACCCTGACCAGACTAAATCTACAACTAAATGTAGAAAAACAGAAAAGTTATGCATGTAACTCCCCCCCCCAATGTCTTTTTCGACATAAAGGCATGCAAGGTTATAACGTTAGTAATCTAACGTTACAAACGACCGTGCCTGAACCTGCAAGTTAGCTAACGGTTCGCTTGTAGTTCCCACAGCCGCCTGTGACATTGCCACGTCTAACATTAACTAGCGAGTTAACCATTGTCGAGATAGCGTTAATATTAATATTATACCGACGCTCACGAACACTAATCTTTCTTTTAGAAATAAATAATAAATAGAAAACATTAGCTTTAGCAAAACGAAGACATCGCTGTATATCGCGTCCTCCATGGTTTTCGTCGATAAATGTTAGACACGCTTGCTAGTTAGCATTAGCAGGCCGCAGCTAGCAAGGCCTGCACGTTCTCTGCACGGTGCGGCCTAAATCATCGACAAAAAGCTTAAACGTTACCCATCTTAAAACAGGCTGATCGCTACCCATTTTAAAAAGCCTAAACATCAGGTTTTAAAACAGCCGTTAACGTTACCGATTTTAAAATAACCAAAACGTTACCCAGTTTAAAACAGCCGTTATTGTAACTTACCCGTTTTTCAGGTCGACTTCGAGTATCTTCCCGTAGCCTTTGAAGAACCTCTCCACGTCCTTTTCTCTGGCTCTGTAACTCAACCTTCCGATATACACCCTCGACATCGTGTTAGCTTTTGCGTGTCCTACTCATAAACTGCGGTGTTACCGAATTGCGGGATCCGAGCACACAGACGAGGCGCGAGCCTGCAAAGATACATACACGCGCTCCTTTGACACAATAGGCCGCTGCTACAGGGGCGGGTCTTGCAGTGTGAAGGGTATTGTGGCCTGAGTTTAGTCTGGCAGGTAGACTCATTATTTCCAGGCTAATAATCGGTCTGAATATCTGTGCTGAGACGATTAATAAATTAGTCTATCAACTGAAAGATAGGTTAATAGAGAACAATTTGTATAATCGATTACCAGTTTAAAGTCACTGATTAGGCAAAATGTCTGTTTCTCAAATGCATCATTGTCTTTATCATTATAAATTGGATATATTTAGGCCTTGGACCATTGTTTGGACAAAACAAGTAATTTAAGGCTTCAGCTTGGAGTCTAGGAAACTGTGATGGGGTTTAAACAATCACTCACTCTTGTAAATAATCATTAGTTACCTCACAATGCTCTACGGTAATATGAAGACAAAAATGAGGCCAATAAAAATCTGAATACATGAATTGATCAATTGACGACTAATTGATTAATTAAATTATGGTGGCTCACCATTGCAAAATGACTAGATGCCAGAAGAGAAATATCAGTATAAAATCTAACATTAACAGTTAATATTTCATTTACTTATCCAACTGTGTTAAAGTTTAGACGCAGGTTAAAAGCACGGTCCATAGTTTCGCAGCAGCCAGCAAAGTGCTTTCACTAGACTCTCCTGGCTTCAGCCAACCAGCGTGTGTGGGCAGTAGGGGTAGGGTGACATGAACACTTCAAATTTAAAAGCCAGGATCAGAGTTAAGAGTAAGAAGTTCAGAGATAATATTTATACAATTACACTTACAGGTTTGATTTAGTGACACTTTGTTTTGACACCAACTACCTACTGAGAGTCAAATATTATGGATTTGACTGTATCCAGAGTATATTAACTCTGCTGTTACTCATATTTTACAAACACCAAAAATGTAACCCTTCACTAATTTCTGTGTTTCATATGCTCTCCACGGGTAGTAGAGATAGCTCTGGTCACAAACAACAAATTAACAGAGTTCCTGGATTATCTGTTGAATGGTAGATAGGAAGAACCTTCTTAATATCTAACGTAATAAGTTTTTGTATATGCGAGGGCAAATTCCTTTTATGTGAAAACCTATTTGGCAATAAACCTGATTCTGATTCCTTACATCTACATTACATTTACTCATCTGGCAGACATTTTTATACAATAATAAACTATTTTATACAAGTATAAACTATTTTTTTTATTTAAAAATACTCATCACATTTTCCCAGAACCCAAAGAAATATATTCAAATACCTAGTTGTGCCTGATCAACATCCCAAAACCCATAATCATAATCATAGAAGACCACCGCAATCAGCAAAGATTCACATTTGAGAACCAATGAATTATTGCCATTTACCATTTATGCTTTAAAATGAATTGATCAATTACCAGAATTGTTTATGTTGATCGCCTAATTGATTAATTGACTAATTGTTTCACAATCTTGGCTGTGACTGTCCATTTTTGTATGTACATTTTTTTCATTTTTTGTGCATATATTGTATAGCCTATCTAAGCTACTTTGGACTAGAACAGCAGCCCTGTATAAAATAAAACAGCATATAATATTGGACATCTCACTGTTAAACTCTACAGCACCAGCAGTTTACCCCTTAAACATTAAACAGCAGCAAATCCTCACATTTAAGAAGCTGGAACGAGTGAAAATTTGCATTAACAATGATTTCCATTGGCATTTTGCTTATACAATGATTTTAAAGACTAATTGATTATCAAAATAGCCTAGTTACAGATGAATTTTCTGTCATTCAACTATAGGGCTGGGCGATTTGGCGAAATGTTATCACGATAACATTTTTTGAATCATTAGATGACCTAAATTATCACGATAAATGTCAAACCATTCCATCATTTCTTTCAAAAATAAGAAAAATCTTTTTTTTCTGTCCCTTTTCCTCCACAAAATAAGTATAGGGATTGGAAAAATCAAGTGTTAATTCATTTGTGATTCAAATTAATTGAATCAAACATTTATTGAACATTTGTTATAGAGGAAAATTATATTGCGATTATTGTTTTATTGCCCAGCCCTACAGTCAACTAATCAAAATGACTACTCTTTTCAGCTCTTAAAGGGATACTCTGCGATTCTTATCCAATGCACTTTTTGTTAAATTCGGCGAATATGTCCTCATGGGTAGGTCTGTGTTTTTCGTGTGCTTTGAAAAAAAATCGGGTTTCCTACACTGGGTCTGTAAATTGAGCTCAAAGCGAGCAGCAGGTGGCGGTGGCGCGCTCGAAGCAGTGGGAGAGAGAATGTAAACAAACAGCGGTACTTTCGAACTTATTTACGGGACTTTAGCTGTGAAGATGACAGAAACAGCCACAGAGGAAAAGGTCTGAGGAATTGTGAGACAAGTTATATGAGCAGGCGAGGGGAAGACCTGTGTTAACATCTGGGACGTGTTTTAATGCTGGATAAATCTACGAGACTAGAAAGGAATGAAAACCGATGCTGAGGTTGCTGTTTCTGCCGGACAGGTGAGTAAGCTAACGGTAGCTTTGCTGTTCCACATAAACGACAGGTTCAGTATTTCAGTATTACAGTCTTGTCTGTCTGTTGTCATGTTTGTGATGATCCCAGCTTGTTAGCTTTGCCGCAGCAGTCCGTATGTGTGCGGTAGAGGAGAAATAGACGGAGCGCGTGTGTGAACAGTGCCCCGGTGAACAGAGAGAAACGGGTTAGCAGGAAGACTTGTTCAGCAGTAAGTGTACAGTAGAAGTTACAGAGGCCGGTGAGACAGTCGCTCCTGTGCTTCCCAACTCTTATCAGTCACTGTATTTTTGTACAAACTATTTGAAATAACTTGCTAGTTTTTAATTTTACATGCTGCGTTTGTCTGCTTACATGTTTGATGATGTTTGTTCACTAATTGTACCTATCGAGGTTCCTCTCGATAATCCTACCGATAAATAAACTAGACTCCGTGTCTTAGATTTAGGCTTAGAAAAGTATTTTGCTTCAGTACATTTTTAAATATTGAGAGACTTTCTACAGTACTGCTAAAACATGCCCTCTTACTGAGGCTAACGTGCAGTTAGCATGAGCAGCAGAGCTGTGGATTCTGCTATATTTCAGCAGAGTAGGACTGGTTACCATGGAAATGCGCGTTCTTGAGTTTGTTTATCAACAAACTCTCTGCAGAATGGCATAGTATCCCTTTAAACCCATAGATATTCAGTTTACTGTCCTATAAGACACAGAAAACCAGTAAGTAGTCACTTGAGGGGATGGAAGCAGCACACATTTTTGGCATTTGTCCCCTTTAAAAATGCCCTTCAGGATTAGCTCGATTGATCGGCTAGTCGTTTCAGGTCAACCACTTTCGAACATTCATGTGGCATTTAAAAGTTAAAAACTTTATATATCGGATTTTACGACCTGTCGCTACACGCATGGGCCGCGGTGGGCGGGGTTAACAACTACAAACACACTAGCTGCACTTCCTCTCTTTTTTTCGTCAATACTTTACCTCCTCTAATCATGCCCGTTTTAACATTCCTACTTGGAGTGAGTCCACACTGCTGCTCCCTTGTGAAAGTGTAGGAAACTTTTTTGTCTTCAATGGGTTGAAGACTGTGAGTCGCGTTGGGAAGAAAATAACGGTGCGCGACGTTAGCCGAATGTTAGCTTACCAGCAACAGGTCGGTTGGTTGGTCAACTGAAAGTTAACGGTTATGGAGCGCGCGACTTTTTCAAAATATTCCTGGATCGACTTCGTCTTCTCTGTGATCGGAGTTTGTACCTTCTTGGTGGACTGGGGTTCGGACGTGTGGGTGGCCACCGAGTTTTACTGCCGCGGGGACTTTTTCTGGTTCGGTGTGCTGGTCGGCCTCATGGTCCTGTCGTCTGTCGTGGTCCAGATGTTCAGCTGGTTCTGGCTCAAGTACGACCGAGAGCTGCCGGGGTTCAGTGCGCAGACCGGAGGAGGAACCGTGCTCTTCGGGGACCAAGTGAAGCTCTCCTGCCTGCTACATGTGCTGCAGCTGGGCTTCCTTTGCAGGTAGGGCAAACTGTGTACATGTTAGTAAACCCGTTATGTGATTAAAATAATGCAGCTAATCACTTGGTTGGTAGGTTAGACCTAACAGTAAGGGTTTAAGTTTACAGTCTGAAGCTATGATGATCAAACAGCGACATTGCTGTTTATAACATATGACTGTAAATATGGAAGTCTGATTCACGGTGGTTTCTCAATACGTGAAAAGTGTTTCATCAACAGGTTGCATGACCTCAAACGCCCATACTGTGTGGTGGAAACAGATTTCACAAAAATTAAATTATTTTATTTTATGGCCTAACGAAATTTTCCAATCTCAGGAGGCATAATATTTGTTTAAGGTGACATGTGTGTCAAAATAACATTTTAAATTAAATACTGTTCTGCTGCAGAGATGTCCTGGTCTATACATAATATTCTACAGAAAACATCTTTGTTTGGGACAGATCCTTGCAAAAAATCACACTATAATTCATTTTTATTATGTTTTTCAATGAAAATAAGAATGATCATTGCCCATAGTATGACAAATCATTTCGCAACTGCACTATTAATCAAAATAATCATAATTAGATATTTTCTCTAAATCGTTCAGCCCAATTTTTTTAATATCCCTTAGCACAAGCACTTTCACTGCAGGAGTGTTTCTCTGTACCTATCTGATTTAAAAAAACTGAATATTCCTTCAGTAGTTCAGGCAAGCAAGTAGGTAATAACATTTGACAGGGGCCGTGACTGTGAAGATAAATTTTAGGTGTGTCAAATAGTAAATCCAGCATCTCGGAAGAGAACTAAGTGCATACAATGCGCAAATAATGAGTTAATGAAGGATGGAACAGCTCAAAATAACAATGCATCATGCCATGTTGCTTCTATTCACCCGTACAATAGTATGTTTACCTGCATAGTTTTGGTATGTGATCATTACTGACATTTTCTCACAATCTGTGTGTCACGTAACAGCCCTTTTCTGATGTATTCGTCCGTGTAGGCACATCTCTGCCATACGGCAAGGCTTCAGGGTTTGGTGGCGGAAACAGGAAGGGTCTGAGTACGCTGTTTACCTGACCCACGACCTCAGCATGCTCCGGCTTATCGAGACTTTCTGTGAGAGCGCTCCTCAGCTCACCCTGATGATCTATGTCATGCTGCGCACACACAAGGCCAGGACTGTTCAATGTGAGTGCTCTTTCGTTTGATTTACTTTCATGCCACAAGAAAAGCAAACCTCTACAATTGAGGACAGTGTTTTTTGTGTGAATCAAGGATTGCTACACAGTTGAGGTTGTAAAAGCTCTCTGAGTGTTGTGGTAATTCGATACCACAGATGCGTGTTGTGTTCTCTTCCTCATGGTTACTCTACTAATGGTTTAACTTCTGTTTTTGCAGTTGTGAGCATCGCTGCATCAACCACTTCTATAGCCTGGATGGTGGTGGATTACCACCGCTCCCTGCGCTCCTTCCTCCCCGACAAGGCCAAACAGGGTTGGTGTTCCTCCTTAATCTACTTCCTGTGGAACCTGCTGCTAATCGCCCCACGTGTGGCAGTCCTCGCCCTCTTCGCCTCTGTCCTGCCCAGGTACATCGCTGTCCACTTTCTGATGCTGTGGATTGTCCTTGTGATATGGGTCTGGCGACAGGAGACGGCCTTCATGGACAGCCTCAGTGGGGAGTGGCTCTACCGGGTCACCGTAGCACTCATTTGGTACTTCAGCTGGTTTAATGTAGCAGAGGGTCGGACCAGAGGCCGCAGCGTCATCTACCACTCCTTCATCACTACTGACGGAGGAATCCTGCTGGCGACTTGGTGGTGTTACAGAGACCCCGTGCAGACTGAGTCATACGCCCTCCCTCTGCTCATCACTTTACCTTTCACATACCTCCTGGGGCTGCTCTTTAAAGCCCTCTACTACTGCTGCTTCCACCCTAAGCTGTGGAGGCCCCCAGTTAGGGACCCAGGACTGCCAGGTGATCTGCCTGATGCAGAAGTGTCCTTTAGAGACTTTTCCATCCAGGATGGCACCCTGTCCTCCCAGCTTCGCAACAAACGGATGGCCTGCCACGCTACTCATTTTTACTCAGAGCAAAGAGTCAACATTGAAAGCACAAATAGAGCTGAGTCATCACAGCTGTGATGCCAGTTCATTATCTGTATACCTCCAGATAAATGTTACCTTCTATAGCAGGGATATGAAGCAACAATCTCTCTTAGACGGTCTCATGTTTGTGCTGCAATTTCGCAAGACGCTCAGTACGTTAATCAAAATACAGCTTCAAACCCTAAACTAAGAGAGGGCAATATGGATCAGTATATAAATATATATGCAATATAGTAAATTCCTGGAAAATTCCTGAAAAAGCAGTTAAAATAACTGGTAACTAATAACTGTTATTGACTAATCAGACAAATGAAATGTCTTACAAATCCAGATACTATTTAAATAACCAGTGTTGCCATAAAGTAGTCTTTCCACCTTTCCACAATGACACTAATACCACCATAGACAATATAAACAGTACTCTTGTTTCTTTACAGGTTCATATCATCTTCATACGTTGTCATATTTCTCAACTCTACTACAAACTGTGATAAGCTCAACTAACAAAGTGAAGTGTTAGTTTTATGCGATACATTTCCTACAATGCAAACTGTATTTTGTCCTTTAAACATATTTATTTCACACATGCCATGTTACCATATGGGTTTGTTGTTGTGTGAACACCTTGCATTTCCAAAATACAAACTTATAACCTTGTTGTTTTGACAATCCTAATAATTTAGACAAGCTTTTGCAGACCGAAGAGGTCTGACAATTTTCTCAAATTATGTAGTTATAATCTACATTTAAATTAATTCACCAAAACACGTGTTGTGTTTTCGGGTCATGTGACTGCTGCTACTGGAACCTATTGAAGGACTTTGAATGTAGATTTGACCATAAGCTCTCCTTTTATAATTTCTATGTTCTGTTACTGTGTGAAACAGCTGTTTTAGACCACTTAATGTTTGTTTTTTTTATCAAGATTATATTGTGTAAAATAGGTTCAAGTCAAGTGGTAATTCTTAATGTGTCAACAAATATGTGTTGGTACATATTTAACAGATGACATCACTTTAGCTTCAAATGTTATATAGGTACAAAACTTTTAGTGTTACTTTCGATCACTCATCCAGTGTTCAGCTTGTTTAAATGTCACATGCGCCAAACGTCTTGTTTACTTACTTGTTTACTTGTTTACAGTATCGGTTCAGACTTGAAAATGATCAAAGCACACTTTTCTCTGTGTGGTAAGAGAACATTTTGTTATTTTCACATGGTAAAACCTCTTTCAGTTTGTTAATTTCTTTGTAGATCCACTTCTTTGCCACATACTCTGCTAAAACCAAAAGTCAAGCTCACTGATGGTTTTTAATCTTTTACCTCATTTGCCATGTGCAATCATTAAAGTGGTGACAACGTATTATGTGTTTTAACTTGTGTTTTTCTGTTGTATAGATGCTTAATGATGATCTAATCTGCATATTTACACCTCTCTTTCACCCGGTTTTCTTTTTTAAAGTAAAGTAACTGAATTTAAAAATGGGATTACTGTAGAGGTTAATTGTTAAAGTCACAGCTTTCAATTAGGGCTGGGCGAAATGGCCAAAAATGTTATCACGATGTAAAAATTTCATAGCATTCTATATTGATAACGTCATATCATTATCTCTCTTGATTTTTGCTCCTGAGGGAAATTGAAATTGTAGTTTTAAACTATTCTTTATGTTCAGCACGACAAACACTTGCCAAACAGTGGATCACGTAACAAATCTGAGGTAGAACATTCAAAACAATTATGATAAAAATCTCTTTTCAGCAAATATGAATGAGTAAAACTAAGGTCCTTTTCTTAAACAAAATAAATATCTTAATGAAAAAATTAAGTGCTAATTTGTTCGTGATTCAAATTAATTTAATCCAACATTTATTGCCGCACATATTGAGGAAAATTACATTACGATAGTTATCAGTATTGTTTTATTGCCCAGCTTTACTTTCAAAATGAGTTGTCTGTATGTAAACTGGTAATTATGTTAAGACAGTGTGCCTTTAAGATGTTATGTAACCCAAGTCCAGTTTGTAGGAGGAGTTATGCAGTATAGAAGCACTGAACTTTGCCTTCACTTGTCTGAAGTTAGAGTGACTGCTCTTTCCTAAAGTATGTAGCTGCAACAGAAGCAGGCAGTTAAAAGCCCTATGTGTGAACTCTGGTTTGACAGGCACTATGGGTAACTTCAAGTACTTGTGTGTGGACTTCCTTTTCACTTGCCTGGGTCTGGTGTTCCTACTGCTGGACATAGTGCTGGATATATTGGCCGCTGTGTCTTTCTACCAGGAAAAGGCCTACGTGTGCCTATCTATGCTGGTGCTGTTTCTCGTAGTCTCGTCTGTTCTTGTGCAGGCCTTCAGCTGGCTGTGGTACAGCTACGAGGACTTTCAGAGGTGGACAAAAGTTGAGAAATACCTGAGTCTGACACAGCTCAAGCTTCTCCATGTGCTGCAGCTGGGAATCTACTTCAGGTTGTGTAAGCCTCATTTACTATATTAATGTTGGTGTTTCAAAGTGTCTCAGGCTGTTTTTCATTCTGTGAATGGAGGTTTCAGTTTGTTTAGTTTCTGTTTATCTGAGAGCTCCGCCCTGCTATTCACTCGTCCTTTCATGAAAATATTTCAGTTTACAGGAAATGCAAACAACTGAACAGAACAACTGTCTGGTTACAGTGTGTAGACTAGTGTGCTGTGCATAATGTGTAATTTTAGTATTTTAGTATTTTATTTGTAATTGAGAGCATCATCAGGCCTGGGAATTCTGGGGAGAGTGCATCATTATGTAATTTCTTCACACAGTAACACATATCAATGAATGACATCTGATTCACTTCCTTGTAACACATATTTTTCAGTGTGTATGACTAATTTTATTCACATAGATGCATTTTTGTGACCACAATGACTCCAGAATCATGGGAAGTATTTTCACATCCCTTTTCAATTGGTATAAATAGTTATTATATGGTCAGTAGTATACAATAGTTTTAACTAAGTGTTCTCTATCTCACAACTTCTCAGGCACGCAGGTGTCGTGGAGGTCTCTGTACAAAGCCTTACCTTGAAGCCCAGTTCCTCTGAGGGTCTCGCAGTGTTCCTGAGCCATGACCTCAGCATGCTGCGGCTCATAGAGACGTTTTCAGAGAGCGCCCCTCAGCTCGTCCTCATGCTCACTATTTTTCTGCAGCAGGGCCAGCTCGATGTTGTGACAGGTGCAGTATGTTACTCATGTCTCAGAGTTTCTTTGTGTAGATTTTGGGCAGAATTATGAGTCAACAAAACAAATTCAGTCATGAGTGACTATAGGGCTCAAGAAGAATAAAGTACAGTTCAGAGATGCTCTGCAAACTGACAACAGTCTGTTCTTTAAAGGGTCGATTCAACTAAAGTCAGTTGTACATTTTTAGTACATTTTCTTATGTTCTGTACCAAAGTACCATGTACTTAATTGATTACTTTATTTGAGTATTGTAATTATATTCTAATTTCCATGTCTACTTGATTACATTTCAGAGAGAAAACTTAAAAACAAATGAACAAAATATGATTTTGATTTGATTGTTTTTATAGACTGAATTACCCAACAGTAAATCAAACAATCAAAAATAGATCCACCTCCACCAGCTACTACATAAACATACTGCATAGACATTAAGTCATTAATAATTTTCATTTAAATAATACACCAATATAACACTCTGAAAGTTTTTGTTAGTGTGTTTTCCTGATAATACTTTTAATGTATTGCATTGTACTGTATTTGTACTATTTTCTTCCTTACTGGTCGTAGTACTGAACATTGCAGATCGATTTGGTTTACGCTGCATGTGTTCATGTTCAGAGATATCTGTCTCTAAGATTTCTGCCTCCAGTGCAGTACAGTGGAGGTGAATGGAATTTAGTTTGTGGAGTGTGTAGTTTCACAATAGTAAAAAACAAAAAGCAACGCTTCTTCTCAGAGATAATATCTTTGATATTCTCAAGTTTTCTCAAACGGGTCAGGAATAACTCAGAAATAAATAAGGAAGTGACCTGATTATTATGTCACAATGAACTGACCCTGATTTTCCACTATTACAGCACAATTGTAGGTTACTGTGTAATCTTTGCCTTTTCTAGAAGCCGAGGGCAACTTCATCAAACATTTACTGAAGTGAAAGCATTTTTTCTGACTTTTAATGCACTCTGAAATGCTACTTCACTAATGAGAGTACATGTAGTTACTTTAATATTTCTCAGGTTGGTTTACAGTTAGTTCTGGACCTGATTCATTCATCTTTAGTTGAAGCGTCTCTAATGATGACCTCTCCTCCTCCTCAGTGTTGAAGGCCATTGGGTCAGCCTCCGCCATCGCCTTCACTGTGACCACGTACCACCGCTCCCTGCGCTCCTTCCTGCCTGACAAGGAGAAGCAGGAGATGTCCTCATCTGTGGTCTACTTTATCTGGAACCTGTTACTCATCTCGTCTCGCCTCACCGCCCTCGCCCTTTTCGCCTCCGTGTTGCCCTGCTTCATCTTCACCCACTTCTTTTGCTCATGGTTGGTTTTATTCTTCTTTGCCTGGCAAGCTAAGACTGACTTCATGGACAGCCCTCTCGGAGAATGGCTTTACCGAGCCACCATAGGCCTCATTTGGTATTTTCACTGGTTTAATGTTGTAGACGGGAGGACGAGGGACAGGACTCTGCTCTATCATGGGTACATACTGCTTGATATTTGCTTCCTCTGCGGTCTGTGGTGCTGGAAGATAAGAACAGAAATGACAGAATTTTATGTAATAGGCTTAGCTGTCAGTGTTGTTGTAGTTTACATCCTTGGTCTTTTATTTAAAATACTGTATTACAGATGCTACCATCCAAATCTTTCCAAAGAGCAGTTGAAAGGGGGCACCCCTGAACAGGCCTTTGCTGCAGATGAGACGGACTTTCCTTTCATTGTGGCCATAATAATGAATGGTGACACAGACATCTCAGATCGCAGCCTTCCCAGCCCACCAGCTCCAGATATCAAACTCAATAAAAGAATGAGGAAGTTGGCCGAGAACTTCTACTCCTGACCTGCATCACTTGACATCAATCAGACATGGAGGTTAGCAAGAGCCTGAGTCATGCAGCCGAACTAATCAACATCATGGGGTTGTGTGGGATATATGGCTATGACCTGTTGCCTTTTAGTCACAACCTCACGGGACCCAAGAAAATAGTTGTATTCTCGTAAGCACTTCATTCATTGTATTAACGGTTGGTGGTGCCGCGTACCAAAGAACACAAAGCTGCCAATAATTATTTAATCAATTTTCTTTTTAAAGTATAGGTTTACATTTCACACAAGTCTGTCTTAAAGCGATACTTACATGCTCGTATGTACAGTGAAATTGTTTTTGGTCGCTGTTTGGTTCTCCTGCCCCTACTGGCTGTGAAGACATCCATTTTGAATGGTTTTCCAATGTGAGAAATGGGGTACAAAACCAACAGTCCTCTTTCTTTGGGGGGTGCTTTTTAACCTTTAATTGGAAAGGAGAGTCGAGGAGAGACAGGACATTTGGTAGAGAGAGACTGGTGTTGACATGCAGCAAAGGGCCTCAGGGTTCGAACCCGGGCCACTGAGACGAGGACTCAGTCTTCATATATGGGGTGTGCACACCAAAATTTAAGGGAGTGGGTGGGGAGGCCCTCCCCAGCTTTATTAACATTTTCAGTGGACCTTCACCTTGACCCTCCCGACTATGAGCTCAAAATACAGTATTGAAATAGTACAAGTTGTTTACATTTTTTACATTTATGGTTGTTTACCATTTAAACTTTAAATCCTTTAAAGATTTTCATGGAACCCCATTTTAGTATTTATGACAGGCCTATTAGCTATTAAATGTATTTACATTCAGTAATTATCTCTGTTTGGTAGGTTTTAGTGGTGGTCTGCCTACCTATGCATGAGGGACTCAGGAAATGATGCACAAATGGAATTGAGCATTATAGTTTGTAATTTTATCTCATTAATATCCGCCTCACTATTTACTGTTGACTCTCAACAGTAAGTTACTGCTTTTATTGTGAAGCAGTCACAGGAAACAAAGTATTTTTCACCAAAATTAAGGTTCATATTTGCTCCGTCTCGCATTCACTTTTCTCAAAGCTTAAGGAGGGATGTATTCAAGCATACCTTTCCTGATTCGCTGAGTTCACCTTTGTTCAAACTGATTTTTAGCGACCAATAACTCTTTCCATGTACATATGGAAAAGTATTGTATTAGATAAAAATTTCCTTTAAAGGTGGGGTAAAGCTATTCTAATCCAACCCAATATGTCAAATTCAGTGAATATCTCCTCACGTTCTGCTAGTTCTGTGTGTGCGCTGAAAAATAAAAAGGTGTTTGTACACAGCCCAACACTATTCCTTTTTATCCTGCCATGAGTTTTGTGTCAGGTAATGTTAAATTACTCGCACACAGACATTCAGCTTACTTTCTAGTTGGCCAAGATGATGTGATGTTAGCTATGCAGCAGGAGAGTTGTAAGTAGCGCTGTCTGGAGCTGGTGTGCCAGTGTCTGCTAACCCACAACTTTGCTAACTGTTCCCTTTATCATCACCATCATGGTGTTTGGCATGGTGTCTCCAGAATCGCTTCCCACACCTTTAACAGCTACCATGATGGTAGCCAAACAACATTCCTTGTCAAGAGCATGACCCTTTAATGAAAATGTTTTAGAAATTATATTTATACTAGATTTTATAAATTAAATTATGTAATTGTATTTTTTGTTTTTACATTTTACAGTAATAAACTTTTAAAAATGTATTTACACTGTGTTGAGGCCATACTTGTGGTGAACTTAAGTTTCTAAGCTATCCGATCTAAAAACATGGTGACTCTGCTGCACACACATTTGATGTTATGTACTGATAATCTCCTCCCATACTCTTACACATTTTGTTACTGTTGTTGTTGCTGTACTGGAGCAACAAGGAACAGTGTAGGAAGCAGGTTTAAACTCTGAGTCTAACCCTCAGCTCTGAGTTTTTGGTACCTGAACAGCTGGAAGTGGCGCTAGAAATATGAATGCATGCCCACACAGACATTTGACATTTATCTTGAAGGGAGTCAGTAAGTTGAAACTATTAAACCACTTTCACATTTAATGAAGTCCTGTCAAAGACATTAAGACCTTCTGCAGCTAACATTCATAAACTATCTTATAAACTACATTTAGTCCAGTTTTAGGATCAAAGTCATTAGAGGTGCAAAACAATTATTCTCACATCCTCCCCAGTATTCACAGCATCTCCAACATGATAACTACAACAGGATGATTGTTCACTGATCAGTTAAAGCTTTATATCGATTAGTTGGATTTAAACAGTGGTTATTGCAGTAATGTAGCCCACGCTAAATGTTTCAGTGCAACTGCTGACAACCTGACAGCTGCCTTAATGTCCACAGTCAGTGTTAGAATGAAGGACAGTGTAGCCTATAGATTTTATTATTCATCCATCCATCCATCATCAACCGCTTATCTTGCGTACAGGGTCGCGGGGGATTTTATTATTCTACTTCTTATTTGATTTATTACCTTGGTAAACACTTTCCTTGTGACTTTATGGTCTCTAATCACTAGTTTCAAGCATTCTTCAATACAGCATGGTGTTGATTTTGTAAATTATGGTCCCATTAAGAGGAAAATAAACCTCTCCGACAAAGGGAGGCAAAGAGAAGGTCAACAGCAATTTACAACAATTTGAAAATATTTTACACCTCAGCGGATGGCAAACTTGAACACGAGGTTCAAAGCATGGTGTGTCAAATGGTATGCTTGGTATGTCAAAGCAGCCACAGCACGTACACAGTCATCAGCAGGAACTAATGCATGAGAACTGCAGGAGATGAAGAGGGAGATACCACGCCTGGATGAGAGAGAGATGTGACCGAAGACCAGTTCACCATAGTTTATAATAAAGCAGCGCAGTAAGGATACAGTCTGTCACTCATAAACTACAGAACTGTAAAGGTTAGGTTTTTATATCACGTCCACACTTCTGTCCACAGTCACACTCTCTCGCTCTCTTTTTTCTTTATCAATTGATGGTTTTTATATGCCTGGTTTTAGGGGTGCTGAGGAGGTTGCAGCACCCCCACTTCCCATGTCCATGTCTTTACCCAACCAGTGAGAAGTGGATGGATTATTCAATTCTTGCATTTCAGTCGGGGGCACTTTGGAGGACGTGCCCCGTTTTAATTGTAACAGGCGAAACATAGCTACGGCTGCCACTGCTATCTTGTGATTTACAAGTCACTGCACCGCGATCTGTCCGACGTAACAATGTATATCCCTCCCCAGCTCCACCCTCTCGTCCAAACATGGGAGCAAAAAAAACAACATGGCGCTGATCAAAAGGCCAAACCAGTAAAACTATAGTCCACAAACCAGTAAGTTATCCCACTTATAATGGCAGTAGCAGGGGTTTTCAAAGTCTGAGACTGTGGGCGCCTCCCCTCAAACAAAGCTTTGAAAAAGGCATCCCCCAACCAATTTACTTGCTTTGTTTCACTCAATTCCTGGATGCGTATAGGATCAAGATTATGTTTAATGATCACATTGAACCTCAACAATTAAGCCAAGATAGCCTAATATCACTGTTTGACATAACGTCAGACTACATTAAATACATAAATATCTGTCCTAAGGCATTTTGTAGTTTCTGACTCTGGGAAAGACAGAAAAACAGTAAAAGTCCCAATAGCACTGTGTCTCTTTAACCAAATCATGCACATTTAGGCTGTTCTATGTGATCTCGTTCTGATAACTAATGTAATATTTCTTCACTTCCATTCACTGAACCCCCCCTGAAACTGTTTGGAGTTTGAGTCCCACCTCCCACTTTGAAAACCTTTGGTCTATGGTAGAAAAGAAGTTAAGCTGCTTTCCTAAAATTTGTCGTAGAGGTATGTGTGAACATTAGTTTGACACAACTATGAGCACAATGGATGAGTTCAAGTACTCACCTGTGGAGTTCCTCTTCACTTGCCTGGGTCTGGTGTCCCTGCTGCTGGACGTAGGGCTTGACATATTGGCCGCTGTGGAAAAGGCCTACGTATGCCTTTGTATTCTGGTGCTGTTTCTCGTAGTCTCGTCTGTTCTTATGCAGGCCTTCAGCTGGTTGTGGTACAGCTACGAGGACTTCGAGAGGGAGAGGATCGTTTAGAAAAAAGATTTTCAATGTGCTGCAGCTGGTAATGTACTTCAGGTTGTGTAAGCCCCGTATGCTAAAATAATGTTGTCTCAGTCTGATTTTCTTTCTGTTGTACTCTATGTATGCAAGGATGTAGAATTAGGTAGGGATGATCTTGTCTCTACCAATATCCAGTGACTACTGAATTGTCCCTAGCAATAATTTGATAAAACATTAAAAATAACCACTCTTGTCCATCAGTATCTAGTATGTATTTGCTTAATGGTTAAAACTATTTAGACTTGTAAACAGTTTCGACTGCAGTGTTGCATCTTTCCTCTGACCGGTAGCTCTGTGCTGTCTCTGCGTCCCCCTCGCTTAGAGACACTTTTGCTCTGTTTGGGACTCTCCCACTAGAGTTTACTTTCCCAAATAAAAGACACAAAGAGGAGGGAAGATTAAATCATGCCTACATGTGTGTTGACTCAGCAGGGATGATTTTAAATGAGAATAGTTGATCTTGAGACCCTTATTGCATTATATTCCATTGAGTTTTTATATTTTGAAATGTCACCTGCCGCCTGAAGTTTGTTTCCCTTAAATTACGCCATTTTCATCATAAATTGATGCAGTAAAGGGATAAATTGGTACATAAATATTCACCAGAATGCAGGAAAGTAATTGTTTAAAGCTCAAACATTACCTAAAAAGGCACAGGTTTCACTTGAAAGCTAGGTGTGAATAGAGGGAACTTTCTGTTTTACATCTAGGATTAATCCTCATTCCATCCATTTTGAAGGCTTAAGTTTCGCAATTTGGCCTTCGCCATCTTGGTTTTTTGGAACCCGAAGAGAAAATATTTGGGATGCAGACTTCAAACAAAATGTACTTCTGTACTCCTTAGAGTGTCTTTTAGTACAACCGACCACTGAACAAGACATTTTGAGGCGACCGAAATGTTACAGTTAACTTTCATGAACTGAGAACACACTCTGAAAGGGTCAACGTTCTTAGATGAAAACAAAGCCCTTGTTCATGGCTGGTTAAATGTACATAATCAAGTAAGAAGTAGTGTCATTTTCTCATAGATAGTTCACAACTACTGAAAATTCAGTTTCACTATGACTTTTTTAAAAGCATTTTTTAATGCTGTTAAGTCCCTGTCCAGTTGGGGATTTTCCTTTCATTCATTGTTTAAATTTAAACTTTAAATCCCTAAAGATTCATTCATTCATGGAACCCCATTTTAGTATTATTAATATTTTTTCTACAATAGCCATTAAATGTATTTACATTTAGAAATTTTCTCTAAATAGTACTTTTTAGTGGTGGTGGTGGAGCAGCACAAGGGACTCACAGGAAAAGATGCAATGATGTAATCAGTAGCGGTCTGGCCATCTGGAGTACCGTGACAAATCCCGGTGGGATGGCCAACCTCGGGGCTTCCTAACTTCTTGTATTGTTCTTGTGACTCCAATATTGTGCATTTGGACGTCTCCTGGACTAAGCGTTCGGTCACACCACTAATATGAGGCCTTAAATGTCCCCACCACTTTTCAACACAAAGTGACGCCCTTGTGCAATCAGCTTCATCCACATGGTCCTAAAGCCTTTATTTAAGTTGAGCTTGTTATCAATGGTTTTTATTCAAATTTGTTTTATTAATAGGCTTTTTTACAAAGATCCGGATCTCGGTGACCTCAAAGCTGGTTACAGCCATGACTTTTTAAAGTAGTAGCCTACACTAGCCCACAGTGAGTGACATGATGAAGCAGAGCATGATCCTAAGACGCCTCAAAGACGACCACTGCCTCGCTAAAGAAGCTGAGGGTAAAGGTGATCGACTGGCCAAACATGACTCCAGACCTAAACCCTATTGAGCATCTGTGGGGCATCCTCAAACGGAAGGTGGAGGAGCGCAAAGTCTCTAACATCCACCAGCTCTGTGATGTCGTCATGGAGGAGTGGAAGAGGACTCCAATGGCAACCTGTGAAGCTCTGGTGAACTCTGTGCCCAAGAGGGTTAAGGCAGTGCTGGAAACTAATGATGGCCACACAAAATATTTACACTTTGGGCCTAATTTGGACATTTTCACTTTGGGGTGTACTCACTTTCCTTTAACAGCTGCCCTGATGGTTCTTCCAGTATAGCAATAAGAACCTGACTGAAAATGTTTTAAAGATTATATTTATACTAGGTATGTTTTGTTCTTATAGTAATA